GCATGTCTACCTAGCTAGGGAAGAGGACCAGACACCCGCGTCGTTCGCTTGAAGCCAGAGCATATATGTACCTACAGTATATTTGTGCATCCTGGTAGCGCCATCCGCCACATGGTCCACTACCGCAGATGCGAATGTACACCCGAAAGCGAAAAAGCGAGGAAGCATGACGCGCGTGCTGAACAGCGCGCTCCCTTCGAAGTCCCAAAGAGGGGGGAAAAACACATCCAATATGAAGCGGTAGTGGTGACAAGAGATAGGGCATTGCACCAGGTAATTGACAGAGCCGAACGAATCGCCACTCCGGCTCGCTGAATTCTAGCTGTAAGAGCGACTGGCGTGGAAAAATTGAAACAAAATGTGAAGAGCTTGAGCTTGAAGCTTGATGGTGGATTCTCAAGCTAACGGACTAGCTTGCGAGCATCGCGCCGATTGTTGGGTGAGCGGGAAAACCTAGACACCGAACCTGCGACCTTTCCTCCACCTTGGACGACCGTGAAAAGAGTTAGGAGCCCATCAGCAGTAGTCGCTTGTTGTGGTGGTGGGGGAAGATCCCAGTGTCGGGCCAATGGCTGAGACATTCGCATTGCGCTGCGGTACGATGATTCGGTCGATTCGACATGAAGCCACAGCTTCTCTTGACTGCACTTCCTCTGGGGTTGCCCGCTTTGAAGGAAGTGCCGGGAACGGAGTTCAGTAGCCCAGGCCGCCCAGCAAGCCCACCAACTCGGCGATGATGCCAATCATCAGCGTGTTACAGCCAAGGCCCATGTGTACTCATCAAAGTCGATTTGCATCGAGCCCTGAGGTCGAAGCGTATTCTGTCCGCTGCAGGGGCAAGAAGGGGCTGCAGGGGTTGCGGATGTCAGGGACGCGCGGTGCCCACCCCTCTCTCTCTCTGGCACACATCCTGCGCTGCGTCTCCCGCTGCGGCGTCAAGGCCTTCTTGATAAGCACAGCAAAGTGCGGTGTTCCCAATTTCCCATCCAAGTTTTGGTTGCAGGATGCGAGGCGCTCGGTTCGACCCTTCGGTCTGTTTTGACCAACCTGCAAGGGGCCCTGGGAGCTTCGCCATAAGGTGGCCGTCTCCTGCCAAGGCCAAGCCAACGCAAAGGTGATAGGCATCTTGGCTGCTGAGCAGCAAAAGCTGGAAAAAAGCTGGTGACAAATGCGACGTTGGGATGGGGATCTGATCTAGCGGCCGGCCGGTGTGCCCGTGAGACATTGAGGCTAAGGCGAAGACTTGCCAACGACTGGTAGCAGGGGCTTGCCCAGGCAAGGACAGGGTTCCACTGCTAGCACCATGGCATGGCATCGCGACTAGGAAGAGAGGAATAGCCATGCTCTTGTTGCGAAAAGTTGGCCGAGGAGCGCCACACACGACGTGGTGGATCGCGAGATTTCCGCCAGGGGCTCTAATTATCTGGGTCCTTGCGGGGGTATCCTGTACCACGCCCTTTGCGAGTAGTTGGCCGGCCAGAGAGGGCTTTTCTATGTACATAGTACTATAATGACACTGATGGGTATGGGCCTGGCCAATGCTGATCCGGCAATGTGGGAGGGGGACCGGGTTTTAGCAAAATGGATGCGGATGAGGCCAAGCTGAGGGATGGGAAACTCGGGCGAGTTGGGTCTGCGCCGACGGGCAGCAAATGGGGGCGGGTCGAACAAGTTGACGAGAGAGACTGAGCTAATGGGGGGCCCAGAGGCTTCAAGGGGCCCTGCTCAGCTGGGTTTTACTTTTTCTTCGCTGCGTGTTGTGCTGGACAGGCGAATTGGCGGCCGAGTCAAAGAGCCAAGATGACACTCTGACTCTGTCGTAGGTCGTTCTCATCTCCGCCGATTGGGTTTGGGCAGCAAGCGTTGCTTGAATCTTGGTCCTCAGGTTCTGAGAATGGGCATCCTGATGGCAGTGTCGCCAGGAACGCGGAGCACGCAAGAAAAGAAGGAGAAGAGTCTGTGTGGCGCTAGAATGTCCACAATGCTCACAATAATGGTCCGATCTCAGCAAGGAATGTGCATGGTAGTTCGAACAGGCCTCCACCAGCAGTCTTGGCACTGGCGGTATCACAGCTCGAGTCGACGGGTGGGCAAAGACCCCGCGAGTGCCGATGTCGTGGCGGCGTGCCTCGGGCTCCGCTGCTTGCCGAGTGCAACACGCTCTCATCATGCCAAATGAATAGTAGCAGCTGCTGTACCGGGACCGTACCTGTCAGTTCATCGGGCTGATCGGAGCGATGTGGCACCTAGGTCGCTGGTCGATAAGATTGACCATGGTGGTCGTGGAATCGTGGATGATGGATCCTCGAGGGAAGATGGAGCTAAAGACGCTTCGAGCCGCGACCGGGATTGCATGACATGACCGATACTGACGCCGAACCTCCACGGTGAAAAATGGCGTCGGCAAGGCCGGCCAAAATGTGTTATCCCTCGATTCCAACCTACCGATCCGTGTCTAGGCCGGGTGACGCTTGAAGGCCTGGGTGCACCACCATGGCTAGACAGGATTCTGGCCGGCAATGTTGACCAAATCCATGATACTGGGTCGGCGAAGGTCGTTCTTGCTCAGCTCTTCCAGCGACGCCCTTTTTGGGGGGGAAAGGAGGTAGGGGTGCGCGGCGCTCCTGCTCAGCAAACCAGCCAATTCCCGATCAAACCTTCTTTTGCAAGTGCCCGGTAACTACCCCAACAACATTCCTTGGCTTCAACTTGACGACCCTTTCCCGCGTTGGATGCAGATCAGCACCATGTTCCGTGGAAGGAGGTACCCTCGAGGTACCTCCCTCCTTTTCGTTCTTCATCACTGGTGTTTTCCGGGGAAAGGAAAGGTTAGGTGAGGTAACTAAGTAGGTAGGTAGCCGTGGAGGGTCTTGCTCTCCCGGGTCCCATCTCC